GTGCAGTAGTAGAGTACTTTACGTTAAAGAAAGTAAATATTTAAGTAATAATAAAAGTAACGCGTAAATTACTTCATGAGTATATTTCTGACAGATCAAATATTTTCACATATAAATTATCCTTAATTCAGCATTTTTTCATTAGCTCAAACAATAGGAGTGCCATATCATCTCACGGAGTCATGGTTCAATCGCAGTCTCTGCTAATCTATACAAACTCACGGAGTCATGGTTCAAACGCAATCTCTGCTAATCTATACAAAATACTTTGCTAATCTCGAAGACTCATCAATACCTTATTGGTGCTAGCGCCTACAGTTGAAACCGTTTGAACTGTTTTGTGATTCCAACAGGTATATAGATGGTTAAAGAATTTTATAAAACCTGAATCAACAAAATTTTTCAGAATTTTAGAATTTTTTAGAATTATCCTAACCGTTTCACAATTCATAACCTAGACTGGCAGACCGACGACGGGCTTGTCAATGTTTAGATCGATATGTACAAGCTACTTCTGAATGTTGTAAAGGAGAATGTTGAATGTTGAAATAAAAGTATATTTCAATGATCCACTTAGCAACTTAAAATTGTGAATTTGATTAGAGTTATTGATGAAGTTGAGGTTGAAAATTCTAAAACTGGCTGAAATCATTGAAGATATAACATCTCCGAAGAATGGTCAGAGGTAGAATGTTAAACTTGGTGACAACTAATGATAAATAGACTACACGCGTAGAAAATATTATTATTAATACTCCAGATAATCCGAGAATACAAGAATCTGTCTGTAACCTTTTTGTTTATTCAATCCTTACAAGGGTGCTCAACTGACCTGATTTTTAATATTAAACTACAAAATTTTTGTTAAAATATTCACTAAGATTCTAAAGTAAAAAGTTTTATTTTCTCAATTTATTTTTGAAAATTAAAAAAAAATTCAGTTGTAAATACGCTTTATTTTTATGTAAATTCTGTAAAATTTTACGAACATTTAGAAAAAAAGTTGTTCACTGAGATAAATTATATCAGAACTGATTTTTATCGGTGGAAATAATTGTTTTAAAATGAAAAATAATATCGATTTGCAAACTCTGAAGTTTTTTTTGATAATTTGAAGAATCACCAGATTCAGGACTGTCTGTGAATTAATGTTAGAATTTTATTATTCACTTCAAATTTGATTCGTTTACCTCACAAAATCATTATAATAATAACCACTGCGGATAATATAAACTGGCAAACATTGAGAATAATTCAAATTTGTAAATGGAAAAAAAATATTAAATATGTTTCTTATGAAGAAATAACCTTAAGTGCCTGTAAAATTTTAGAAAAATAAACAAGTAATTCAACAGTAAAGAGCGAGGTGATAGTGTAGCGAGTTAGCTGGCTGGCACTGCCTTTGAAGTGAAGTTGATATTAAATTGTTTATAGAGAAAATCTTTCATTGAAACTTCCAAAATTTTTCAAAAAATGTTTCAAAATATGCAATACATGGTTAAAATAGACTCAGGGTACTTTCAATAGCTAATTATAAAACTAGACGGCATAGATACATTTTTAAGGAAAAAACAGAAACAATTTAATGCTGCAACAGTTTTATTATTCAAAGAAATCTATCGTCTAATTCTGAAATAATTTAAATAAAACATGAGTTTATTTTTTTCAAATTTGTTCAACAAATTCTGACATAATGTTTAATTTGCACTGGGATACAGTTCTCGAATTCCATCGATATCATCTTGATCAAAGACGACAGGAGTGTGCAGATTTTTTGAAAAACCATACATAACCGCAGCTTTTTTGTCCGAATGGTTCATACCTAAGGCATGTCCGAATTCATGACAGGCTGTCCATGCCAAACTTTTACCTGAGTAAAATATTTTTGTTTTTCTATATTTTTTTGTTAATGTTATGAATGTTTTTATATTTTTTTTGGTTAAGATAGGAAATTATTCCAGCCGCGTTAGCAATTTTTAAAACGTTTAAGTAGTGGAAAGAGAATAAATGTTAACCGCTTTCACTTTTATCACTCCAGAATTCATCGTCGTCGAAATGTATCTTACCGCCTGGTGGAAAGAAAGCATGTGCTAAGACGTTGCTTTGACCTTTAGACTGGTTGAACGAATAACGATCTCCATGCTCACCTCGAAGGAAAGATATCTTCAAAGTTGCGTTATCGCTATCTGTCTTGCGAAAAGAGAGAGTTATTGAGGCATTGGCCCAGAGCTTGAATGTTGGAAAGTGAAAAAACGAAACAATTTGAATGTGTTGAATTGTGAAAAAATTTGTTTCCTTCTAACATTCCAACATCCTGAAATTATTTTGTCAATGGAAGCATTCGTTAGATCGACCTGGTGCTGTGGGTAGTTGAAGATTTTGTAATCTAGACTCACCTTTGGCCATTTAGCTACAGTGTTAAAATTAAACGTTCAAAACTAAGTTTGTTTTTGAATTCGTCTATAATTTAATGTATTAAAATTTTAACCAATAATATTAATTATTATTATTATTATTATAATTATTACTTATATGAAAATATTCTCAAAAGTTACTTACTGAGGTTACAATTACCCTTAACTAAATTGCAACCAAGTAAATATCTTTTCTGTATCTCGCCGCTGTCAACAATCCCATCTGGATGCGAGCACCATGGTTTGTCCAACTCGTCCGATGCAGTTCCTGAACTACGAATACCTTTGAAAATTATTTTAAGACTCAGATGATTTTTAAACAATTACATCTACCAGTTAAACAAAATAATTTGGAAGTAGTCAAACCAACCTGGCGTTGTTTTTACGGCATCACCGAAGCTGGTTCCTCCACTTTTTGCTCCGCCCTCCAGATAGCCAGGAGTCTTTAAAAATTTAAAAGATGAAACGTTGAGAAAGTTTTAAAAATGCGAATTATTAAAATTCTCAACATTCCGATTTCAATTATCTATAGACCTGAAGGCTTTAAAAAAAGAAAAATATGAATATAACCGTCGTTCCCATATTCAGATCAATAGGAGCAGTTGGAGTAGGACCGGCCAGGCAGCTCGTCACAACACTGCACAACAAAGTTATTAAAATAACTTTCTTTGATAACATTTTTTTCAGATTTGCAAGCGGCAATATCTGAAAAGCTGACTAAGAATGTTATAAAGTAGAACATGCGGTCTTATTATATGGAAAATGTCGTTCATATATCAAACCTTTATGTCGTAAGCTTTATTTTATTTATTATTTAAACTCAACAGAAGCCAGATGTTCATCTTTTGTAAGTTTTATTAATTATCTAAGAAAATTTATTGTTTAACTGATTAAAATCAATACTTTATTTACGATAATTCACAAGTGTTCAATTCATGTTTGCAAATTTAATAAATTTTTAATTGAATGTTTAATAAAATTTATTTAATCTTTTTCTTCTTATAAAACCTTTTTAGCTATAGATCTAACTTTGCCCGAGTATAGGTATAAAATGAAAAATTTCTAGCTCATGTGAGAGAAAATTATTTTTTAAATTTATAAAATCTTAAATTACTTCAACAATGGAAATGTTTTCACGAAACGTCTGCCTGACTGATCATTCATCATTCATTCTATTGTTCTTAATTTAATTTACTGACATCTATTTAAAGATAATTATTATTTATTGGTGATTAACAGTAGCAACAGCAGTAGTATGATTAATTCAATTTCAACAGTGTTGACGTTAAAGCGAGTTTTCTGGTCATAATTTAACGATTCAAATTTGCATTATCACAAAGATAGATTGTAAAAGGTTTTATATTAGTATAGAAATATGTGCAGAGGACATAATTTTCATCAGAATCATTAATGACTACGGGATAGGAGTAGAGCAGAGGAATTTTTAAAGTTTCAAACAGCCATGACACCGTGATATGTTTTATTTTGTGTTCTTGACATGTGATTGGATGTACGATAAATCTTTGTAACAATTATAAATACTAGATCACTCCGAGTTGACAAAGTAATAACTTGTCACGTTGGTTATTAAAAATATTTGTGATTTAAAAAAAAATTAATTTCTTCTGAAATATAACTTTTACTAGAATGCACTTGCGTTGCATTTGTTTAAAGTTAATACATACATATTACTTATAAAATTATGGTATATTTATGAATTTTTAAGCAAAAACAGTTAGGATAAAGTACGGTGATGAACTTGAGTTAAAGCATTTTGATATGAGTAGGTATATTTTCATGGGTAATCAATGAAAAAAAATTTGTACATTTTTCACTAACATCACTTCAATCCGTTTGATTGTTTCAATTAATTCACAAAAATTGAAAAAGAAAAAAAATTTTTTAATAGAGCTGCTGTCACTTTCTCAGCTCTTTTCCATGTATTTTAGACAGTTACATGTAAAATTGAAAAAAATAATTTTTTTCATCAACAATACAACGATTAGTAACGTCAAACGATCAAAATATTTTTTCACGTTTTCATGAAATATGCCAAAAATTTGAGATTATTTATATCATGACAACTTTATGGCAGTAGTTGGATCTTGTTCATGTATCCCGAAATTGAATGCCACAAGGGTAGGTACTTTGTATAATGTAATTGTATCTGCCAGGATATTTTGTTTAGTATAACATACATGAATCTTATATTCATAAACTTGTACAATTTTGTGGTTCAAAAAAATTAATGAAAATGTTTTGAAAAATATTTTAACGGACATAATTTGCAACAAACTTCAGATTTCATAAAAGAAGTTCCATGAACTCAAATTTTATTTTCATAAAATTACAAAAGTATCATAACAATGAGATTAACTCGACGAAATATTTTGTTTAGAATTAAAAAAACTCAAAAATTAAAAAAAAACACCAGACTATGAGCAAAAATTAGCAGACAAATAATCGTTTGCTGACATAGAGAGAATTTATACATTGTTGCCATAACTAATACAGCAAAAAGTAGAGACGATTATCATTTAGGACGAACATTCATTATGTGAAAACAATAGATTGAATGTATATTAATGTTGTTCAGAGCTACAACGAATTGCTGAAACAATGGTTAATGAGTAAAATTCTCAATGAAATACAAGCGCCGGAATAAAAATTATGGGCAAATTCAAGGTAGCCCCATGAAACTGCAGTTAAAATATTTCTATATGTACGACTGAACGTATGTTTCTTCACAATTTAATATCTCTGTTTAATGTTGGAGCTTGAAATATTTACCAGTAGAGAAAACAATTTTTGTTTAATCTGCAGTAAATTTCTAACAGTAAATTTTGAGGAACTATTATTTAAACTTAAATAAACTCTTGAAAAAGTTAATCTTTATTTGAAAAATGAAGTCATCGTTAAGAAAACTGAAATTGAAATTGCCTTTATTGGTGATTTTGTATTTATTTTCTGGATCATTACAATTTGAACGAGCAAATCAAGCCTTGTTCAGTAGAGCCAACAGTTACCTAGTTGTAAAAAATCAAAAAAATGCTGTTTGTTTCGACGAAAAGATGAGCATTGCCAAGAAAGTACAAGCTGTTTCTGCTACTGCCTGCATTCGCAAATGCATGGTTAGAATTTTTAGATATAAATGTAATTTTGTAAAATTCAATTTTTTTAATTAATTTCAATAATTTAATAGTGCAGTGAAAGAAAGAAACTTTTAATGTTTAATTTTCAACTTTTGAAATCCGTTTAAAACAAAAAATCTTTTAAATGGCATGTTTTTTTTAAAACAATATAACATTAGTTTGTAGTTGCATCGTTAATTTGTTAATAAGGAAGTCTCCAGACTTTCGATGTACAAATTACTTAAACAGCGGTTACCAAAAAAGCTGTGCACTGAAGGAATCAAATCTATAACAAACTTAAATAATCACGCATACCTATAGAAGTTTCAAGAAATCAAAATGATTTTTTTCCTCTCTAAAATCAATTCCATGGAAATTTTAATAATTATCACCAATTTATATTCCAATGTATAAATTTGATTTTAGTTCTGATATAGCAAAAAACAATGAAAAAGGACAAGAAACTTGTTCAACAAGACACGCGTGACTGTTATAACTATTTATCTAGATAGTACCGCCTATGGTTGGTTACTACTGCCTTCTTTACAAACGGTTTTGTCCGTGATTCATGGAAAATGTCCCGATAATGCTGTTTTTTTGCGGTTGTAATATCTTTTGGTTGAAAAATGTTTGTTTGGTTGCAGGAAAATGCAGTAGCACGCGAATTTTCTTTTGATTTTCAAATTAATTTTTAATCACGTACATGTTTTGTTTATTTTGACTTATAATAAAATTGGACTAAAATGACGAATGTGAAAATTCAGTTATAAATTACACCAAATTTTATTCAAATAAAAATCCTAGTAAAGTTGTAATAAAAATTCAAAATCATCAAACCCTCACCTGTAAAACTATTAACGAAAGAGTTATGAACATTAAGTGGATCTACATTGTGTTTGACGAAACAAAGAAAAAGACTAAATGTACATTGTTGCTAAAATTTTTATGGTACAAAGTAAAGACAAATATCGATAAGGACATTCGTGACATAAGAACTTTGCCTAGAAATGTAAGAACGATGTTCGGAGATATAATCCGTGTAACAATGCTAAATGAATAAAAACACGAAGATGTAATAATTGTGAGCTAAAAATTGCTAATAATAAAGCTAAAAATTGTGAGCAAATTCAATGTAAGAACGCAAAATGCTAATAAATAAACTCACATGTGTCTGTATACGTAGTTTTTTTTCTAATATATTTTTCTCTATTTGACTCTGAAATTGTCATATCGTATCTTAGACTATCTCATTTTATAACTTCTTTTCACATCATATCTTATCTTCCAAAATTGCGGTACGTTTATAATAGTACATTTCGTTGGAATATTATTCAGAACTGGAAAATAAATTTGATGTTTTTTGTAAAAATTGAAATTTGTTTCAAACACGATGTCTTCTCTAAAAGAACAGAAATTGAAATTAGGTTTATTGGTGTTCTTGATTTTATTTCCTGGTTCACTTAAATTTGAACGAGCAAATCAAGCCTTATTTAGTAGAGCCCACAGTTACTTGGCTGTCTGGGACCAAATAAATACTGTTTGCTTCGATGACAACATGGGCATTGCTACAAATGTGCTGGCCGTTTCTACAGTTGAATGCATTCGCAAATGCTTGGTTAAATTTTTGATTTCAAATTGGTTATTTGTTTGATCATTATTCAACGATATCAGATGTAGGTGGTTCGCGATAGTGATAATTTACATTAAACAATGTTTTTGATGATGATAAAGTTGGTCGAATTAAAATAAAGTAAGTTTGAAGAAATTGTTTAAATGAAAACCTGTTTGATTTAGTGGATCACCGACATGAACTTGAGAGGAATTAATTACAAGACATCTTTGAAATCTTGCACATGTGTTCCAAAAATGAACGTTTTGTATAATGTAACTACCGATCTGACTGGAGGATGTCTGGCATTCGTGGCCCATGGTAAGTCTTATCTAAGAATAATATTTCAGTATAGTCTAACTTCAACAATGTTTATGGTTTGTTTTTTAACAAACCATTTTTTTTCAAAGATTGTCCACAAACATTTCACTACGTGATTGAAAGCCACAAGTGTTACAAGTACATAAACGATGCAAATAACTGGTCCGTCTCCAGAAAACTTTGCAACGACATGCTAAACTCGCATCCCGTTATTTTTGATGAAGCAAATGAGGCTACTGCCATCATCCTCTACATGAAATCGAGATGTAAATTTATATTCAAGTTTTTCATAAAAAAATTATTTTTTTTTATAAAATTTTAGAGGGGTTGTTTATTGACATATACAATTTTTCGTAAGATTATTTTTATTGATTACAATTTAATTTTTTCAAAGTTTCAAGTTGTCCAGTAGCATGTTTACTACAAGTTTACCTATCACCTAGGTGTACCTACTTGTCACTAGTGAACAAATGCTCTAACGTTTCATGTTATTTTAATGAAGTTTACAAAATCTGGCATTACCTTCCATCATTTAGTGATACTATAATAGCATTTTATTGCTTTGAGATACAATTTTTATTCAATATATTTTTTTATAAAAATACAACTTTTAATGAAAATTACTACACAGCTTATGTCTACTCGTGGACAGCTGGTTATGTGAATTACACGAATGGGCTGGCGTTTCATTGGGGTCCTTATCCAGGTATGAATTTCAGATTCTATGAAAAAATTTTCTGTAGTCATTTGACTCTGTTGACTTTCATTTCATTTTTTATATATAAATTCATTTTTCATCTAACAACTCCGTAAACAATTTTTTTTAAACCTCAATCTTTAAAAAAAAGCTCAGAATGAACAAAATTGTATAACCAAATATCTCATCTGAAAACTCTGTTTTTTTTTCACTTTACTTGTAAAAATGAAGAAGAAATGGAAATATTCTTAAAAAATTACTATTCAAACAATTTTTTAAACATTTGAGGACTACTTATGAATAATTACTTATTCAATAAACTATCAAAAATCTTGTATTTCAAACGTATATCTCTATTACTGAAATTATTAAAATACTTTACCAACATTTAAATAAGGAATAACCAGACCAATCGATCCCAATGTTACCTTTTGGTATCCAGGAGCTCCCTATCCGTTTGGAGGTGGGACTGACTGTATTGAGTTTATGCCTCGCTTCGGTGGCTGCTGGTTCGATTATTACTGCGATGTCACTCAGTCGGTTTTGTGTGAGTATGATGTTGTCTTTTAGGATCAGTGTAGGTATTGTAAACCTTGGGGTTTACAACTCTTACAAATTCATTCATGAAATGTGATGATAATATTTTTGAAAAATAGCAAGAAAAGTGATTAAGAATATTAATTTGATATCAATCAATTGATCAGTTTTGCCTGACTGTGACCTCGCATTACAGGTTTTGAAATAAACTTACGAATTCTATATTTACATGCAATTATCATTTTTGACGAAAATATGGACGTGATATATTTAATATTTCAAAGAATAATTTGTGTAGCTCACGTCATTATTATTAAAATTTGTTATGCAATTTTCAAATTTCAAATTTTCAATTTTCAAAAACCACAATAATTTTATAACGTAAATTCTCAAATTTTCATTTTTTGGGAGATAAATTACAAAACTGATTTAATTTTCGTCATAGAAAACAATTTGTACTTAAATGTAAGAAATAAATTATTTGCCTAAAACTAATAGAGGGAGGAGAGATAGAGAGATAGATAATAGATAGATAGAGAGAGAGAGAGAGAGAGAGAAAGAGAAAGAGAGAGAGAGAGGAGAGAGAGAGAGAAAAATGTTTCCAAACACTTTTTTAGATATGTTTCTTATGGTTTCTTCTGCCTCCTATTACTTTACACTGATAGAGTTAAACATAAAATCAGCCACGTTGTTGTGATAAAATACCATTGAAGTTTAACTTTACATAAATTTTACCGTCTAGATTCTTACTTGTTGCCTCTGTTGAAATGTATATGCAAACTAATACAATAAAACAATTTTTAGATTCCGAATATAATTTATAATGTTTATCTCTGATTTTTTATATAAATGGAAGGCATTGTTCTATTAATACTATAGGATTTGCTCTTAAGTGCGTTTGAAGATGAAGATTCCTATTGTTTGACAATTTCTTTGTTGAGATCAAACAAATACGCTTAGGTAGTTTAAAACAAGATAGCGGTACAATGAATTTGTTGAAACTTATAATATATCATGAAACGTCAGATGCCCAATTGTTCATTATCTTTAAGTTTAACATTTTTGAATTGTATACTATCTTAGTCACAATCAATTTGAAATAAAGTGTACATTTGATTGTAAAATTTATTTAAAATAACATTAATTTTTTTGAAATGATATTGAAAACAAAATTATTTGAAGTTTATTTTCAATGGAATACATATTCATTGCTGTACCCAGAGTCAAAATCAATTCGATGAAAAATAACGATTTTTCTTTAAACAAAAACCAGAGTGAATAGAACCATGCATATGTGAGTAGCATAAGGACTCTTGTAAATTGTAACCAACTTCACATCAAAAATATAGTAGGAAAATTGTTCGGAAAAGAAATTCACCTAGAAAAAAATCTACACGGTTTTGAGCAAGAAGACAAAAAACTAAATTTACATACACATTTATATATACGTTACCATGAATAATTTTTCAAGCGTCTTCAATCTTAATCACAGATTTGGGTGGTTTGATAGTTTTAATTAGAATAAAATATAATACACGAAATAATGGAATTCACCCTGAAACTGTCTTCAATAATTTTTTTCATCATCACGGTAACGCTATATTGCTACGCTCTTCAGCTGCAAAATGTTTACCAAGCACTATTCACTAGAGCTCTTACTTATCTCAAGGTTTACAAGCGTGAAACAGAAATATGCTTCGTGGATACTATGGATATGGTTGTGAAATTGCAAGCTGGTTCTGCAGCTCACTGCATTTCAAAATGTCGAGTAAGTTTTGACCTCGCATGTTTTTATAAATTTGCAATTATCTATTTTCTAGAGATCTTGAAAACCACTTAGGTAGCAACTAGCATGAATCTGAAAGGAATCAACTACATGACATCAGTTGGATCTTGTTCGTGTGTTCCAAAAATGAACGTCCTATATAATGTAACTGCTGATCTGACTGGAGGATGTCTGGCTTTTGTCACTCATGGTTTTTTTATATTCATGAATTTTCAGTTTTAATTTTTTGTAGTATTCAATTTAAACACTCCTTGACATACAAATAACCAAATTCAAAATTTTCTGAACCAGATAAATGAAAGTAAGCTTAAGCTTTAAAATGTATTATTTGACACGCGTTTTTTACAGATGTTGAAAATTTTGAATAATTTTTCCAGTGTTTTTTTAGAATCCTTATTTTTTGCTTTTGAACATTTTTATTTCCTTTAAATTGTACATACCCCATATTATTCTATGTAACTTTCACGACAAACACCCACTTTGCATCTCAATTCCATTAATTCCATTAATTCCAATAAAAATTTTAAATCAAAAGATTGCCCGCTTAGATTTGACTACCTCGTTGAAAACCACAAATGTTACAGCTTGCAGTTCACGGCTAATGATTGGAACACTTCAAGAAGCAATTGCAACAACCTGCTCAACTCTCACCCAGTGGTTATAGATAGTTCAGATGAGAATACTCTTGTCCGGTTGTATTCGTTGGCAGAAATTGCGCGTACGTAAACATACAGTTTTTAAAATGTAAACTATGAACATTTTCGTGATACAATTTTAGTATCTTTATCTATCTATTGTCTATATTTCAACGAATCATACCTTTATGGATAGTTTTATAATGTTTGAAGTTTACTCTAAGCGGTTTCGAATGTTTCATATAATAACACTTTTACTAAAATTCGGATGTTTATCGGTGAATTTTATTCTTTAGAAGCCTCTTAAACAACATTTTTAAAACACATGCCCAGGAAACCCAAACGCAACCATGAAGCAAATATGGACTGCAGGCTATCGAATTAATGTCAATGGATCTCCGACACCATTCTACTGGGCTACATATCCAGGTCGGGATAACGTAAAACATATTTTTTAGCATTTCTGAAAGAACCATAAACGTTTTACTAGTCGTAACGTTACAACAAAACTTAGTAATATTCTCTATAATTACTGGACTATTATTTAAAATTTTCACTAAATTGATGTTAGTTTCATACTATCGCCTATTTTTTTCACCTATTTACATCAAGACCAAAACCAGTTGATCGAAGAATTTTTCTGGACGATTGAGAACCCAGGAGTTCCTTACAATGGGAGAACAAACTGCATCCGATACATATTAAACATAGGATGGGCAGATATAATCTGCACATCTCAGATGTATGTTCTCTGCGAGGTCGATCTTCATTGAATGGTTTAGCTAAAAGGAGCCAGAGTAAGAATGGAACCTGAGAAATAAAACCGAGCAGATGAAGAAAAAACTATGTGACGATTATGTTTATGTTTTATTATTTTTTTTAATGTAACTTTTATTCAACCTGGTCTAAAAACACAGTTTGCATAAAGAGTTTACCTATTAGAATGTTTTCACAGTTGACACAAATTAGATGCACCTATGAGCAATCAATTATGAATGCACATTTCGATATATAACAAACCAGTCCAAATGCAATCTCATTGCCAGTATAATCACCAGACTCAAAACCAAAAACTAGGCCATTACATTCACCATTATTATTATTATTCATGTACAGTCATATTCATTGACAACATCATTAATCATCAAATATAAATTTATCAAAAGTTAACATACTCTTTATATTTAACGAGTTGATTCATCGGAAAGTTGGTTTATAAATTCACTGCAGTGTATGTGTGTGTCTTTGTGCGTGTGTGTGTGTGTGTGTGTGTGTGTGTATGTGTGTGTGTGTGTGTGTGAAGGTACTGCTGAAACATTATAATAAATACCTGTTTATTATGGGACTGCTTTTCAATCTTGATAGAAGTCTCCATTAAGTGAATTATTTATTTTAAGAATAAAAGGCAGAAAGATTTGTTTACTACAAATTGTTGAAATGAGTTTTACCTTTTCTTTGGCAATTTGTTTGTTGCTGGTGTTGTCAAGCTGCTTCGAACGTAGAATCAATTTCTTCATTATAATTATTCCACTATATTTCAATTTTTGTGATTTAAAATAGTTGTAAAATTTCAGGACAAAACGGACCGACTCCCCGAGGCATTGACCGTGTTCAAACGCATGCCCTCGCCAATCGTAAACGTGTGTTCGTTAAAAGTTGATTTTAATCTCTTCTCTAACGACGGGCGGGCACTAAATGCTAATTAATTGACACAATAAAATAATTATATTAACTTCAAATCATTAATTATTGTTAAATATAATTACTTCAATTCATAAATTATTGTTAAGTCGATTTTTAGCGTTATGTCCGAGTCGATTCAACTACCTTGTGAAGCTTAGCGATAGAAAGAGAACGAGAGTAGTCAAAGTTGATTATCAATATCTAAATGGAGTTTGTATTCAGTCGTGCTTGTGTGTTTGTCTTGTTTTTTTATGTTCGGCATGGCGCTTTTCAACACCCTTGCTTCCGCTGGACGCTGATACATTTTTGCTATAATTAGTTTTCTGTTTTCTCTGTTTGGTAGTTTTCTTAAAAAAAATTGGTAGTATATATCTAGTTGAACTGGTGTTTGTTTGTGGTTGTTGTGTAAAGTTTACATTTTATGCGTCCAATTGTTATATTTTTTCACAATTAACGTATATATGTTAGCTATTTTGTAGTAATGAAAATTGGAATACTAGTCTTTGACAAGTGGTCTAATTTTAAACTTTTGGCGAATAGTTTCTATAATGCGATTTAGGCCATAAAACTAAAATGAAATGACATAATGAGGGCATTTAATTAGTTTTAAGTTTTTTTTATTTAACCGAATAATCTGATTATTGTTATAATTGCCTACAAAGACTCATTGCGTCTTCACCTCAAATGGATACAGAACCGTCATTGTTGGCCGAAGATCTGCAACTGGCTCCATGATTTGAGTGACATTTATATCAAACTTTTTTTTTAAATTGTTACGTAATTTGAAAATTTTATTTTGTGCGATAGTTATTATTAATATTATAATTACAAATCTAGTATGAAAGCCCTGAATTCATCTACACTAAAGCGTCCAAACCGTGCCTACAGCCAGTTTCTGGCAACCAGATTAACATTAATTAATTCGAAAATTAGTTTTATTTCTAATTAAAAATGATCACAACAAATATAACAAATTATAGAATGGCAAATTCCTCTACAAAAATGTGACGTATCACGTTGAACCTGTACCAAGAATGAAATGCTCACTGAGTTCTCCAACCACGAAACTTTCTGGGATCTACCACGCTGTCTGCGGAATAAGAATGCGTTGAAATGAATCATAAGCTCAATTGATTATTTTTCTGAAAAACAATAAAATTTCATGAATAAAAAATTTGATTCGTGTTCTTTTATTAAAACGAAAAAATTGATAAATTTAATGCAATATGGTTTATTGAAAGTTTAGTAAATGTTGAGAATGGCTGAAAGTAGAATTACAGCCATTAAAACCATAGGTGAGCAGGTAAGGGTTGGCAGGTTCAAAGGATAGTTCATGTTCTTGGTTCTTGTACTTGGATATTTGAGAATATTTGGATAGATAGATATATATCGTTCATTTATTTGGTTCATTTAATTTGATTTTTTGGTTAGTTGATTGATTAATTGATTAGTCGATTGGTTGGTTGATTAGTTGATTGAATGAATGACTTATTGAATGGCTGGTTGGTTAGTTGATTGATTGTTTAATAAATGTTTGGATGGATGGTTGTTTGGTAAATATTCGAATTTTTTGGTTGTGTGTTTGGTTGTGTGTTTGGTTGATTTGATTGGTTGATTGATTGGCTAGTTAATTGATAATATAGTATTAAACAGTATTTATAGTACTGTAGGGTATATATGCACAAATTTTGACTATAGCTCAATCCTATTAAGCCAACCTATAAGCCACTGCAGTAGCCAGCGTATGATTTCAGTAACCGATTTCTTTGAGAACTAGAATGTAAAATGTACATTGAATATAATAAAGATAGTTGTTTAAATAACACTTTAAATTAATTTACGTCTTTTATTTCATAAGCAAACAAAAGTTTAACACGATCGAATAGGGTTAAAAAGTGACTATAGCTCAATCCTAGTAAGCCAGCTTATGGCGTCAGTAAGCCACTGAATTTCAACAGACAAAATGCAATTTTTATATTCAAATTAACAAAAATAATTCAATAAAACATAATTATATTTAATAAAATTAAATAGAGTTACCACATTATTTTAAACATATTAAGTCAAGGAAATATATAATATAGCTTGCTCGTTAAGATTCATGCAATTTCGTAAGTAAGCAAATAAGCCAACAATCCAAGCCAGTCGAATAGACCGATCCAATCTATTATGTTTTCAAAGTCTAAATTACAAATTTACATATTTTTACGAATAAATAAGTGAAAAAATTTGTAAAAATTAACTCTAAGAATCGTTTTAATTCATTCGCGAATCGTTCATTTTTTTTGGAAAATTAAATTTATGTAGGTGTAAGGTAGGTGCTTGTTTTATTTTATATTGTTACATATTTTTATATTGTTACAAAATTTGTGTGTTTTTTTAAATTTAAAAAACTTTAAACAACAATATGAATAAATAATGTAAATTTTTGTATAGTTATTTATATTTGTTATTAATGTTAAAATTTGGTTTAATGGATTTTACTGAATCAGATTTGTAAGTTAGAGACAAGGGGATGAACAATACAAATACAATTTGATATTAGTGACAGATGTTTCATTTTTTTTTATAAACATTTTTGTCTTCTAACATAAGTGAATAATTTTTTTTCAGCATAATGTTACTGTAAAAATGCCGTTTGTCAATTCACTAATCAATCAAAAAATCCATTAACTAACACTAACCAATCAGTAGCTGATATATTAAATAAAGGTCAACCAACCAACCAACCAACCAACCAACCAACCAAATAATCACTCCACCAGTCAATCAGCCAACTAACCAACCAATGGCTGATATACTGAATGAAATCCAACCACTGCCAACAACAACAACCACATCATCATCGCCAATTAATGTAATTTCTGTCGAAGAGATGTCGACATTAGCAGCCATGACCACAACCACTATGTTGCCAATAGAAGTAGCTACAAATGCCACACATCACATGTTGAAAATATTCCTACAAACTTCATTGGCACAGACTTTGGCAGGGATTTTTTCATTCGCTGCTATTTTTATCACTGGCTGGCAGGTAGGTATTTAAGGGTTTTCTTGGGTTGTAACTTTTATTTAAATTATTTTTTTTGTAGTTTTTTTATTTATGTTTTTTTTTTGTTTTGATGGATTTTGTCAATTTTTTTTTCGAAATTATTTGTTATATTTGTTAAATTATCTAAAAATTTAATCAAAAATCATTTTTCAAAAATCACATTTTCCATAAATCCAAAAGATATTCTCTCATCTGTACTACTACACCTGTCCAAACGAACAGAGGTGGATAGTCAGGGTCCTCTTGATCGTACCCATATATGCATTTGACTCCTGGCTGAGCTTGTTGTTCTTCAGCCATGAAGAGTTTTATGTCTATCTTAATACTATTAGAGATTGCTATGAAGGTTGGTTGGCTGGTTGGCAGGCTGGTAAGTTGGCTGATTGGTAAAGGTTGGTTTGTGTTTGGCTAACTGGTTGGTTGGTTGGTTAAGGTTGGTTGGTATCTGGTTGGCTGGCTGGTTAGCTGGTTTGTTGATTGGCTGGTTGTTTATTTTGATCTTAACTTGAGTTTAAAATCCAACAGCTCTAGTCATTTACAGTTTTCTAAGCCTCTGCTATGAATATCTCGGTGGGGAGAGTTCCATAATGGCTGAGATACATGGAAAACTTATAAGGTCTGTTTTGATGTTTTTGCTGCTACTGCTGCAACCCCTGCTGCCGCTACTACAACAGCTGCGGCTGAAGTGGTTGTTTGGTTATTACAATGTATTTCAATGTTGCTGTTGTTGATGTTGTGTTTTTTTTGCTCTCCTTGGCATAGTTTATGTTAATGTTAATTTTTTTTTTTCATATTTTATTCATTCTTTTTCCTGTTTGTATTTTCATCCTTATTAATATATGACATCAACAAAAACACGACGTCATCAACGAAAAATGACGTCATCGACAGATCCGGCCTCTGTAGATGTTCCTGCTGCTTCATAGGCCACCAATATACCATTGGTTTCTTGAGGTTTTGCAAGAGGGTATGTATCTCTCTGTGTGCGTCTGTCTGTCTGTTTGTTTGTCTGTCTGTGTCGGTCTGCATGTCCGCATTTATGTTTGTCTGTGTGTCTGAATGTTTGTATGTTTATGTGTGTTTTGTGGTTGTTGAATTTTTGTGTTTTTTTTTCTCTGTTTATTATGCTTTTTAAATAATTACATTAATGAGTAGGCTGTTCAAATGATTGATTGGTTGAATGAATGAATGAATGAATGAATGAATGAATGAATGAATGAATGAATGAATGAATGAATGAATGAATGAATGAATGAATGAATGAATGAATGAATGAGTGGATGAATGAATGAATAAACGAGTGGATGAGTGAATGAATGAATGATTGATGTATTTTTAACCAGGCTACATTACAATTCTGCATTGTGAAGCCTTTGATGGCCATTATAACGCTGATACTCCAGCCTCTTGGCCATTACAAGGATGGAGATTTTTCGTATGTTTGTGTGTGTTTGTTTGTTCGTTCGTTTGTTTGTTTGTTCGTTTGTTTGTTTGTTCGTTTGAGTATTTGTCTGTTTGTTTATATGTTTGCTTGTTTGTTGGTTTGCTTGTTTAGTTTGTTTTTGAAATGTTTGCATGTGCATTTGTTTAGATAACAACCTTTTTTCACACAAACCAAACATAATCATATCACTACGTCATCGTACACACACACGCGCACACACGCACACACACACGCACACACACGCACACACACAGCGTGCACAGCGGCTACTTGTACATCACTATAGTGTACAACATCAGCGCTAGCCTGGCCCTCTACGCCCTACTGCTCTTCTACGAGTCGATCTCTGAACTTTTGACCTCGCATGACCCCGTCCTCAAGTTTCTGGCCGTTAAATCTGTGGTTTTTTTGTCGTTTTGGCAAGGTTGGTTGTGATGATAAGGATGATGATGAAGATTGTGATGGTGAGGGTGATAATGAGGATGATGATGATGATGATGAGGATTGTGATGGTGACATTCTAATCATCATCGCTATCATCATCATCTTTTCGCCAGCAGCCATCATCATCATCGTCATCTTTTCGTCATCATATCAGGCATGCTACTGGCCATCCTGGAGAAAGCAGGCTTCATAAGCCCTGTCTTCTCGGATGAAGGCAAATTGGCAATTGGCACTGGAACAGTAGCAGCTGGGTATCAGAATTTCATCTGCTGCCTGGAGATGGTGCTGGCTGCCCTTCTCTACAAGAGGGCCTTCCCCGTTGAAAAGTTTGACGTTTGTTGTTGTTGCTGTTGATGTTGTTGGTGTTGTTGTTGTTTTTGTTGGTGTTGTTATTGTTATTGTGAGGTGGGGTTGGGTGTTAATTTTACAAAAAATCATTTATTTAATCAATCAAACAATCAATCATACAATCAGTCAATCAATCAGTCTATCAATCAATCCATCAACCAACCAATCAGTCAATCATTCAGTCTTTCAATCAATCCATCAACCAACCAATCACCGAAGATATTCAGCTTCTGTTCTCAGCAACAGGACAGTTTCTCTTCAGAGCATTTCTAGCAACCTCAAAGAAACCATGAATCCGAGAGTCAGTTCAATCACGTATAACTCACTGAGACAACCAATCCAACAACCAACCAACCAATCAACCATCCAACAATCAAAAAACAACCAACCAACTAACCAATC